GTGAGTCACAGCAGCGCAGGCAGCTCCAATGAGTCAAAGCAGTGTGAGTTTGGGCCACTCCGGCAAAAAGTGTCATGGCCACTTATCTTAGCTGCTCCAATGGTAACCCTGGGACTGTATGTTTGACCAGCTGTTTCCCTTTAGTTTCTTTCTGAGTCGAGATGATCCATCTCCCTCTGTCCTGACCTCTCCAAGATGTTTTATTCTGGTATCTGAGTTGTTTCTCTCAGGGAGGCTCTGTATCTGGTTGTTTATCAATCTGCCATCTTTAGCTCCTCCCAAGAAATTCTGTTTTTATGTTACTACAAAATTATACCATCCCACACATAGGTTATCAATAGTTTTAAAACTCATGTTATTAATTCATATTTGTGTCCCAAGTCATGTCAGATATAGAGGTAAGCACTATATGCATATATATATATATATCATACTTGAAGTGGGAAAAGCCCAAAATCTTTATTTCTGAACAATGAAGAAGCACAGCATGGCTGGATACTGTTTATTCAGACAGAAGTTAATGCATAAGACAAACTATTTTTTTCATAGATCTAATATGGAAGTGCTCAAGTGAAATAGTCATTTTGCTATAAAACATAACTCTTTTAACTCTTTACTAATGCCTCGTAAAACACTGCCTCTTTGGACCCATTCTACTAATACTAAAATCTACTACAATCTAATGTTCTCTGAGAAGCTAAACAATTTAAATCTTTCAATAAAAGAAAGCCCAGCCAGTTTTATATTAATATATGTGTCCTTTAGATGTATATCCAGTAGTGGAATTGCTGAGTAATATCATAATTTTAGTTTTAATTGTTTTAGGAACTTCTATATTGTGTTCTGTAATGCCTGTACTAATTTGCATTCCCACCAAGAATGTACAGGGTTTTTTTTTCTGCTCCATATCCTCTTTAACACTTATATTTCATCTTTTTGATAATAGCTATACTAGTAAGTGTTATGGTATCTCATCCTGGTTTTAATTTGCACTTCCCTGGTGTTTATTGATATTGACCATTTATCATAGAGCTCTTGGCCATTTCTATGTCTTCCTTTGAGAAATGCCCATTAATATCCTTTGCTTATTTTCAATCAGATTTTATTATGAATGTAAATTGTGGATATGTGGGCCACTGCCAGAGTGGGGACAGCCAGACCCGTGCCTCTCTCCATGAATTAGCACCATTCACAGACTGCGGAGGGAGAGAACCAGGCCTTACTAGGAAGTGATCTCCTCCTGGAAACCATATCATTTTCATTGTTTTGTTGGGTTGGGTTTTATTCTCTTTTGTTTTGTTTATATTAAATCTGATGGCATGAACAGCTATTTAAAAGACAGGAAGACATTATGGTAGCCATTTTGAATTTACTATTAGCTCATTTTGAAGTCATTTATTGCATTCATGGTTTTGTCTTCATTGTTTCTATTTAATTCTGTTCTGTTTGATTTTACTATGTCTGAAAGTATCGTCAGCTCTTTTGAAGACAACAAAAGACATTATGGTAAGTGTTGTTGATTTCATAAGATTTTAAAGTTTATTTTGGTTTATTTTTATTGGTTTTATTCTGTTTTATTTTCCTTGGTTTTATTCCCTTTAAAATAAAAAAATTAAAACAAAAAAGCAAGAAAAATAAATGTAAATTGTGCCTGCCAAGCAAGTGTGAAGTTGTGAGTTTGATCTCTTGTACTTCCCAAAAAAAATTGTGATGAAAAACTTTGTCAAAGATACATTACATCATGTATTGTTTTTCTATTATCATAAATTTAGCAACTTAAAATAACACCAATTTTTTATTTTAGATCAGAAGACTGGGTTTGGCTTTAGTGGATTATCTGCTCAGGATCTAGGATGGTGGCAATCAAAATTAGGTTAGGAATGTGGTCTAATTTGAGTCTTGCCGTACTCCTCCAGTCTCACTCATTCTTGGAAGGATTCAGTTACTTTACTTGTGGGATTAAAATCTACTTTCTTGCTGAAAAATCAAGGCTACTCTCTGCTCTTCATCATTGAGCACCATTCTGTGTCTATGATACTTTGTTCTTTCAAGGATAGCAGATACACTTTCTTTGACTTCTTTCAGTTTTGATCTCTAAATTTTTTATGATAGTACACATGATTAGATCAGTTAACACCCAGGATAATCTTCCTTTTTGACTGGCTTAAATTCAAATGGTTAGATCCCTTAGCAGCAGCAAAATTTTTTAGCTTTAGTCATGTAACTTAACCTAGTCACAAGGGTAACATCCTATCATATATACAGGTCTCACCAATCCTTAAGAGGAGAGGATTATGTAGGGTATACACAACAGGGGAAAGAAATCTTGGAGACTATCTAAAAATTCTACCCACCTCATATAGGACTATGGTAGTTAAATATTAATTTGTGACAGACCAATGGAACATTCAAAGTAATGTTCTGGGAGTTTTTCCCCTTTTTGAAGGACAAACTTTTCATGCTGGTTTTCCTGATATGAACTCAGCAATTCTCATCTTCAGAGGAGCTCGGGTCCTCACTGTTACTGAGGATGGCTGTGGTCCTCTTTGGGGAAGCTCTGGTTCCTTACCATGAGCATCACTTCCTGGCTTCAGTGCAGATTCCTCAGCCTGCTGGCACAGATCTTTTATCCCACTGTTGCAGACTTGTACCTTCTGTCACTGACCTTCTGCCTTCTTCCCAGACCTCCATAAGACTGCATGGGCTCTAGGCTTCCAGCTGGACTCAAGGAGGACATTACCATGGACTCTAGATCTTTGGTGGGACTTGTGCAAGATATTGCCATGGGATCTAGGACTTCAGATGAATCCTTTAGGTCTCTAGTATGTGGACAGATTTCTTGTACTCTTTAGCATTTGACTTTTTGGGTGAATATTATGAAATAATTCTATAAGTTATGTGTCCTGTATTAAATCTATACCCTTGAAAACTCTGGTTACAAATAATCCTTGTTATCTCTTTCTACAATGTCCCTCAGGACATTTTGGAGTGCTGATTTAGTGTTCATGAATCTCCTCAGGTATTCTTTATCATAGAAGTATCTTAATTTTGCATCAGTTTTGAAAGATAGTTTTTCAGGATACATCAGTCTTCGTTGGAGGTTGTTTTTTTGTAGGACTTCTTCACTCCAAGCTCTCCATGACTTGAAGGTTTGTGCTGTGATTTTGATGGGCTTTCCCTTATAGGTGATTTGTGTCTTTTCTTTAATAGCTTTCTCTAATAGCATTCTGTTGTTGTGTTAAATTAAGCTTAATTCCTGGGTTAATGCTTGTAAATTGCCCAAGTAAGTAGTTTTATTGCTAATATTTAGAACTCTTAAGAAATGATGGAAGCCAACTAGCAAGCCTTTCTGGCAAGTCATGCAAATTATGAGGCTTCAGGAAGAGAAAAATCAGTGCCTCTCAAGAATGGGCCATGCTGGGTCTGGGAGGATTCAACAAGAAGCCAATAGCAGCCTTTCTAGCAAGCTGCACAAGGTGTGTGGCTTCCAGGAAGAGAAAAGAGTCAGTTTCTTCCATGAGCCTACTGAGTACAGGCTGAGAATCAAACTATTCCCTCCCACCACATAAGCAATCAGCATTGGAGGACAGGCTGAGTTGATAACAATTAAGCATAAAGAAACTAAATGTTTGTATTATCTGGTTAATTTGCAGGCTTGGGGCCAGTGGCCTGAGCATCTCTTGGAATATACAATATAGCAAATATGGGGAATTTCCTTCTATCTTATCTTTGAAATCCAATGTTGTTCTCACTACTTTGGTTTGTTTTGCTTTATTTAATATTCTGTTTTGATTGGTTTTATTCTGTTTTGTTTTTGGTTTGATTTTGCTATGTCTGATGGAATGGACAACTATTGTGAAAATAACAAGATATACTATGGTAGTTATTGTTGTTTTCCTAGTATTCTGCTTTGAAGTTCTGTACCAGTTTTGCTGTTTGTTTTGATTGACTTTATTCTGTTTTGTTTTGTTGGGTTTCACTATCTTTAAAATAAAACAAATTAAAAATGACTACTTCTCAGCGATGTCTTCCAGAAATAGCTGGTTTTTGAGTTTTGAGTCTGTTGCAAGATTCTACCTCTTAAATTTGTTAAGGATGAGAAACTGCTGCCTATTTGGCTCAGCACCTGGTTCTTAGGCATTTGCCTATAGTATTACTTATGACCATTAGGCAATCTCAGTCTCTGTATACCAGGAAGAACAACTGATTAGAACAATTCTGTCACTTTGGCTAAAATGGTGCAATCAGCAACAACAATAGCTTCAAACACAGCCTAACAAATTGTTAGGCTGACAAACTGAGGTAACTATTAATTTGCCACTTTTGATTATATAAACCAGATTTGAAATGATATAACAAAATCTAAAATGAACCAGAAAATTGTGTGTAGTAAGTAAATCTTCAATATAGTGAATTTACCCTCAGAGGAGAAAATGTAAAAGGGGTTAGGAGGAAAAATGTAGAAATAGAAGAAAATGAAGAGATTAGAAACAAGGCTGGAAGATGAAGGAAGATCACACAAACTTTGGGAACCTGTTGATGAAGCCAAGAGGGAAAGAGAGAAGAAAGAAATAAAAACAAGAATAGAACAACAACAAAAACAAACAAGAAACTGTTCACTCTCGCATAAAAAACAAAAATAATCAAGAAACAAAACAAAACAAGAAAAGAGAGAAAGAAAGAAAAAAGAAAAGAGAAGAAAAAAATACTCGCTTTAAGATGTGTCTCTGCTGTCACTGGTAGACAAAGTAGGCAGATAGTTCAGACCTGAGTTGATTAATCCCACCAAGCCAGCCATAGCTTTATGGCAGGACAGTGGATAATCCCAGCATGCCTGCACCTTTAATTCCACTGACATTCAGGCTGGTTTCTGGCTGTGTGGCTGGCATCAGACCCAGTCACTTTATAGTAGTTCATGTGCCTCTCTGTCTTGAACTTGGCCCCCTGACTTCCTGCTGACTTGAACATTGCTCCCTTATCCTGACACTTAGAGCTAGAAGATGGAGCCAGCAGTTTCTCCAAATTCCAAGCTCAGCTGGCCACTTTCCAAGAGGGCTTCTGGCCAACTGCTCTCTCCTGGGGGATATCTGAACCCAAATAACTCACCAGCCACTGCAGTCCACTCCATCTACTGTTCTGTTCCACTAGTGCATTTCTTCATGGAGGCCTCTGGAGTCACCAGCAGTCACCATGTGTCTGCAGGTTCAAGCTGCCCCTCCCACAAGTGAATCCAGGCTCAGGGAGAAAGTGCCAACTCCACTTCCACCTCCTTGTTTTCATTGAAGTCTCTCTCTTCACTCTCCCTGTGGGCTTCAATTTTTGCTTCAGATCTTTTCTAGTTCCCAGGGACCCACCTCCCTCCTTCTTCTCATATTGCTATATTCCAGTGTCTGGATACCAAATCTCAGAGAGACTCTTTTTTTGCTGCTTACTACTCCACCATTTTCCCAGAAGTTTCTTGATTAAATTTGTGAAACAATGTTGTAATGAATTGTAATATATAGAAAAATTCCTGCAATATTTAATTATCTTTAAAAGTTTTATTTAATGATCTGTATTTTGATCATTCTTTATTTATAATCCACCCAAGTATGAATTTGACAGAGTCTTAGTAGATTCTGTAATAAAAAATAAAATCCAGAAAACTGGAATATTGTACTTTTTGACTAAATTTTAAGTCTTTAAAATTGACAGGACTTGGCAGACTATGCAGGGATCAGGAAGAGAAAAGTCAGTGCCTCCTGGGAATCAGCAGTGCTGGGAATGGGAAGAGCCCACCAACAAACCGACTAGCCAGTCTGTCTGGTGAGCCACACAGGCCATGTGGGGCCCAGGAAGAGAAAAGTCAGATAGTGCCTCCCATGAGCCTACCAGCGTGGGGGTTGAGAATCACCAACGCCCCTCTCCCATATTCCCCCATAAGCAATTGTCTGATTCAGAGGACAGGCTGAGTTGATAGTAACTGAGGTACAAAAAGCAACTGAATGTTTATATTTTTTGTTTGACTTTGCAGTCCTGGGACTATTGATCTGAGCGTCTATATGCAGGATAATATTATGCAGCACAGCAATTATGGGGAATTTCCTTGCATCTTGTTTTTGAAATACAATATTGTTCTCACTGTTTTGTTTTGTTCTAATTAATTGTTTTGCTTTATTTGATATTCTGTTTATTTTGGATTGATATTGCTATATCTGATGGAATGGACAACTATCGTAAAGATAACAAGATATACTATGATAACCATTTTTGTTTTTTATCCTACTTTGAAGTTCTGTACCAATTTCACTACTTTGTTTTGATTCAATTTATTCTATTTTGTTTTGTTGGGTTTTATTATCTTTTTTTTTTTTTTTTTTTTTTTTTTTTTGTCTTTTTCCTTTTTATCGGTACCGGGAATCGAACTCACGACTGCCTGCTTGCAAGGCAGGCGTTTATGCCGCTGAGCTAAATCCCCAGCCCCTGGGTTTTATTATCTTTAAAATAAAAAATAATAAAATTAACACAACTTTAAAAAATTGAATATTACTTCAGATGGCAAAAACTGGTCAAGTGTAATGAGCAAGGCTAGAGGCTTTGGAGTATAGGTCAGAAATTACAAACTTTAAGGTAAAAACTGATGATGTAGGAGGAAAAGGTATATAAATAGTTTTTTTAGCTTGGCTAAAACTACTTTATGATGAAAACTTAGTCTAGTGTAGACACCTAAAATTGTGTGTAGGATGGAAACTCCACTTTATGTTAGTCTTGAATTTATTGTACAGGTAAGAAAACATAGAATTGTACTGGAATCATATGAATAAAAAATTGAAAAGAGAAGGGCTAAAGCTTTTCCCCTTTCAAATTGTAACCTTTTGAGATCTCTTTGTTTGGGACAAAATAGAAAACAGCAACAAAAGACAAAGTGGAGTTCATGAGATGTGTTATCAATGCTAATTGTTTGTCAGACAGTCTTTCTGGGTCACTCCCAATCCTAGTAAAAATAGTTGGATAGCTGGGTTTATTTGCATGCCCCTGTAATCTTAGCACTGGGAAGCAGAGGCAGGGGATTGAAAGTTAAAGGATAATCTGCACTATATAGTGAAAATGAAAAAGGGGACGAGGGATCTTATTGGAAATATCAGATTTTAAAAGTAATCTCAGCTCTAACCCTGGCTAATTAACCTCCTACTTAAAGTCAGAACCAAGTATGTTTTTCATTTCCTAATAGGAGTCACAGGCCGACCAGAAAAATAAAAACCTATTAATGTAATTATGGTAGTGTTACTGAGTTTTGGGATGCTGGAGTCTCCTTCTGGAGGTGGTTTGTAGGTTCTTTCTACCCTGAGCAAACAACTGGTTAAGGAAAACACAAATGGTAGCCAAATTTTATTAAAAGTAAGAAATAAAAAGGCTCTGCAGAGTGAGTTTGGGCCAAGTAAAAGTAGAAAAAGAAGCACACTCAGCAGCATGAGGCCAGACCACCATGGAAGAGAGAACATAGTGGCAGAAACTCAGTGGCAGCTTTTTCTATCATCCATTCCTCAGACTGATGACTGGCCTTGGCCATCCTATCAAAAATCAACTTGGGCCAAACAGGGTGGCATGTACCTGTAAAACGAGCACTTAGAAGGCTGAGACAAGAGGATAGCTGAGAGTTTGGGGCCATTCTGGACTACAAAGTGAGCTGTAAGCCACCATGAACTGCATAGTGAAACTCTGTCTCAAAGGGGGAAAAAAAGGAATGAATGAAAGAGAGAAAATTTTTTAAAAACCTGCTTGGGTTCTCTTTAGAAGTCCACATGCAGGATTTTGGGAACTGTTCTGACCATGTGTCCTAGGTTTTAAAATGAATTTTTCAAGGACATATTCAAATCCCTTCACCTGTTTTTTAATCTAATGTGGTTACTCCTTTGCAATAATTTAAATTTTTGTAAATAACACATCATATATATTTCCCCTTTCTGTTTTGGCATGCTCTAAACTGCATTAGTAATAGTTCCATTTTTAAGTCATTTAATTCAATAATTTTCAGTTGGGCATCTGCAACATGTCAGATTTTCTTGCATATAAATCTTATATAATTTTTTGCATGATTTCCATATGGTCAGCCCTCAAAACCAAAAAACTGGGGGGAGGGGCAAATGCCAGGAATGGTGGCAAATAAGAAAAGTGGGGGTTTTTTTTTCATTGTGGCTACTATAACAAAATACCTTATACAGGATAATTTATAAATAGTAGAAATTTACTGCTCACTGTTCTGAAGCCTATGGAGTCCAGGACTGAAGCACCAACAAATTCAGTGTCTGGTGAAGCCTCACTCTCTGCCTGTAAGATGGCACCTTATTTCTGTGCCCTCACATAGCACAAAGGAACATGGAGCTCCATTCAGCCTCATTCCTAAAATAACTAATTCTCATAATTACTTCCCAACATGCCTCAGTTCTTAATATCACTACAATGGAGATTAGCTTTCAAAATGAATCTTGGAAGGATGCATTCAAATCCCATCACCTTTTTTATCCAGTGTGGTTACTCCTTTGAGGCAAATATTTGAACTTTTAAAAATTTTCATTGTTAAAATATGTCTTAAGAATATCATTTTGTTAATAGTACAAAAATCATTTGGTAAATTTTTACGTCTGTTATGTTGGCTAAAATACATGCCTTATTGGAACTAGACTGTAATAAGTCTGTGGTTGTTAGGGAAGTATATTGTAGCAGAAGATGCACCCCCTCCAGCCAGTATACTTCAGTTTATTAGCTGTCCAAGTTATATTTCCAGTTCCAGTTCCTGTTACTTTTGTTTCTTGAAATGACTGGTCACTGTGGTGCACAGCTGGTCACTATGATGCATATTGTAAGAACTAATCCCTAACTGACAAGCCATTCTCTCTCTGTATTTCCTGCTTGCTTGTCCCATGTAAGCCCTATACCACCAGAAATCAGGGCCTGATATTTTGGGAATGATCCCCATCAGTAAACGTAGAATAAACCTGCCTCCAAATTCTGAATATTATTTTGGTGTTTCTGCTTGCTGTTGCATATCAGTCACTTTTGCTATTTTGAGGCAGTCACAAAGTAACAGAAATTAGTTGTCTATAATAGGACTATTAAACTTGTTTGCAGGTAACTCCTTCTAAAAGTGGTTTACCAATTCAATATTACCGGGTTCTGGGTTCCTTGCCTCTTCTTCTGGAGTTGGATTTCAGGTTCCTCTAATCTTGAACATAGAATTGAACAAAACAAGCAAAAAGCAGTGGCAAAGTTTATTTTTAAAAAGTGAAACTGAAGAATGAGGGAGAAAGTGGTTCTTCAGTGTGAGTAAAAGAGAAAAAACAATATAACAGAACACCTTATAGAATGCAGGGTGGCCTCTATTGTTAGGAAAGCCATGAGAGCAAGATCCTTTTGGTAACTGTGTCCTTTTATATTGTCCAAATCTTGAGGAAACCCATGAGACCTTCTATATATGGATGCTGAGATCCTATACCTCAGGCTGACATGGGGTCTAAGTTTTCTTTCGAAAACATGCTCTAGTTCTCCATAGAAGTCCATGTGCAGGTCTTTTGGAACTGTTCTGCACATGCATTCTGGGATTTTGTAATAAATGAGTCACACCTACTTTCCTAGCCAGCTTCGCCATGCATTAATCCCCTATGTCAACCCTACTGACAACAGTTATTGGCCCTGGTTTTAACCATATGTTGTAGTCAGGGGTTACAAGGAGAGCAATTAAATACTTGACACAGAATTTATAAATATTATTTTATGATGGTCATCCAGAGTTAAATACAGGAAAGTGCAAGAAATCTGTGTAAACACTAAAGACCTAGAAAATTCAACAGAGGGTTTGGATCCCACAGCAATGTTCTGCATGAGTCCACCTCAATACGTAGAGCCCATGACAATGACTCATGCTAGTCTGTTTTATGGATCTGTGCTGGGAAGGCCCAAAGGTCAGTGGTGGAAACTAAAAAATCTATGATTCCAGGATGAAGGCTCTGTACCAGTAGGTTGAGGATTCTGTACTGGAGCCAAAAAGTGACACTCAAAATAAGGACCAGAAATCCCCTGAAAAGTACCACAGCCATCCTCAGCGACAGTGAGGTCCTGAGCTCCTCCAATGATGAGAACAGTTGAGTACATGTCAGGAAACCTGTGTGACAAGCTTCTCCTGGAGATTAAACAACGTACATCTTCCCCCTCCAGAGCTAGGAAGTCATGCTTAATGTAAGGAGCAGAGCTACCCCAAAGTGATCCACAGCCACTTTCGATGACAGGGTCCCCAGCGCCTCTGATGATAATGGCCGAATTCATATCGAGGAAGTTAGCTATGGCAAGCTCCTCCCAAACCAACAGCTCCAGACAACAATTAGGAAAACCCACAACACCCTACTCTTCCTTTCTGTCTGCTTTTATGCTGGAAACTTTCTTCAGGTGGGCCATCTACACTCAGTAGCATGCTAATTTAGTTCAGCTGATGTTAAGTTGACCACCAGTTTTTAATCCATAACATCTTATTACCTCAGACAAAATATAGTGAGGACAGATGCAGTCCAAGAACAAGAAACCAAAGTTTTTATATTTTGTTACAGTCAGAGCTTTCTGAGGAAGAACCACATGACATAGATATCCACTCAGGGAAAGCACCAAGTCTATCACAAGATGGACGGAAAAGGAGTGTATGGACACATAGCTATATGATGATTTCCAAAGCAATGAATGGATAGAAGAGAATAAGCATATTTAGGACTGGGCTAGTTCAAATAATTTCAGCAAGCTCTTCTGACATAGGGGCTAGCTTTATGTCATGGATATTATGTCATTGGATATTGTTCATTTTCCAAAGGGTCATATCCTAGAAGATCTTTCCCCTGTGTAGTGGTAATCTGAAGTAGGACTTTTAAGATATGAAGCCTAGTGAGAAGCAATTATGTCATAAGGAAAGCATCCTCAAAAGGATCAATGCTCATCTCACAAGAGTGAGTCAAGTTCCTGCTATTGGATTAGTTACCTTGAGGGCATGTATAGCCTCTGCTTGCACACGAGCATTCACATATGAACTTCCATGTGATGCCATCCACTGAGTTATGATGCATTATGAGGACCTTACATGTGTGTATGAACTTAGAATTTTTAACCTCTAAAATCATAAGCCAAAATAAGTCTCACTTTTTCTTATAAAGTATGCATTCTGGGAAACCAAGCAACCAGCTTGCCTCCCTGGTAAGTGGCTGTGGTGTAGTAGGTTGTGGCCACCCCAAAGGAAGAACCACCAGTGTCCCCTGAGTTCTGCGCCATGTTGAAACTTAGGGTGCTGGGAAACCAAGCAACCAGCTTGCTTCCCTGGTAAGTGGCTGTGGCTGTGTCAAAGGGAGAACCACCAGCATCTCATGAAATTCATGCCATGTTGGAACTTAGGGTGCTGGGAAACCAAGCAACCAGCTCGCCTCCCTGCTAAGTGGTAGTGAGCCTACTGGCACATGGGCTGAGACTCAAACATCTCACCCCACCCCACCCCATTAGCAAATGGGATCCAAAGATCTGAGCATCTTTTGGGAGATTGATCATACGCAATATAGCAAATAAGGGATTTCCTTCTACCATCTTTTTGAGGGCAAATATTTTTACCACTGTTTTGCATTATTCTGATTAATGATATTGCTCTATTCAATGTTCTGTTTTGATAAGTTCTATAATGTTCTATATTTTGCTTTATTTTGCTATACCTGACTGAAAGAACAACTATTGTGAAGACAACGAGATATACTATGGTACCTATTACTGTTATCCCATTAACCTGCTGTAAAGTTCTGTACCAAGTTCACTGCACTGTCTCAATTGGCTTTGTTCCATCTTGTTCTGCTGCATTTTACTACCTTCAAAATAATAAAAAGTTAAAGAAACTGAAAAAAAGTATGCATTCTCAGATATTTTGTTAGAGCATCACAAAATGATCTAAAACACCCCAGTTGTTTGGTATCTGATCTTCAGGGGAGATTAGAGTGGTTATATAGTGGCCATGAAAATGGCTAGGATATGGACTTCATCAGCTGCCCCAGAAAGGAAACTGAGCAGCCTACAGTCAGGGCCTCAAAACAGGGTTAAAACAGCACTGATTTAGCTGGGTAAGATGATGGAATACTCAGGAAGTTGAGGCAGGAAAATTGCCAGGAGTTCAAGCAAGCCCAGTCTACCCTGCATAGTGAGATCCTGTCTCAAAAAAGAAAAAAAAAGCACTTATTTAAAACTACATTATAAACTGGGTCTGTTGAGGGTATACCTACAATCCCAGCTATGTAGGAGGCTGTGTCAGAAAGATCACGAGTTTGAGCACAGCTTGGACAACTTTAATAGGAGCATGTCTCAAGTAATAAAATAAACTCTGGGGAAGTAACTCAATGGAAGAGCAGGTAATTTGTTTATATCTGACAATAAGCCTTAAAGTGATGCTTTATTAAGCTGGTAATTTAATGAAAATAATGATACATATTTTATTTTATGAAGAATATTTTATTTCTGTAGCAAGAGGTATAGAAGCTGTTTCTTGAAAGCCATAAAGTAAGTGACTGCCCACCAGAGGATGCTACAACTGCTTGAAGAAAACAATGGCTTCAGTAACATTGTATCTTACTCAAGACAGAGAAACCAACATCTAGCACAGTACTCATACCAGACAGTGGGATATGTTTATCTTTTGATCTCTCCCCACTTTTTGAAAGAAAGGTTACAGTAAAAAGAACCAAAGCAAATTCAGAAAATAATTGGGAAACAAAACTGAGTATTGTCTTGATGCAGTCAACAGACTTCTCTTGTTCCCCAGTGCTATCTTAATGTTCAGCATTTACTTTTATATCCTTAAACAAGGCTCCTCAGCACTACTTGAAAAATGTTATCAGTGATTGAATCAGTGACAGATATGTATTCCATTGAAACTGAACTCAGATCTTTCTAGGGATGATAGTGTGAGAACACACATTTTCTTGAGATGTTCTTTACACTTTTCACCGGCTATTGCCTGATTTCCTTGAGAACTTTATCAGTCTCTAAAAGTATGTTGTTTGCTGTTTGTCTTAGTTATTTTTTACTGGTCTCTGAGACAAAATACATGATGTCCAAAATTGGGAAAGGAAAGGTTTATTTCTTACAGTTTTTGGAGGCTTCAGTCCATACTCAGTTAGCTCCAAGACAGGGTGGCATGGTGGGGCTGCAGTTCATGGCAGCTGCAAACAGCAAGGCAGAAACTGGCAAGAGAGAGAAACACACCTTCTTCCTGCCATTATATCACATCCTGGCTCCACCCCTAGGCTGGTGTAGCAGTCACATTCCCAATCCAAGCACCAGACAATGAACCAGTCACAAACACATAATGCAAAGGCATGAGGCTTGGAGACCATAAACCATTACATCCCACCCCTGACCCCCAGGACTCATGTACATCCTTCATACAAAAGACATCCATCTCGAAGAGTTGCCAAGATCCTAACATTTTCAGCATTGCTGAGAAGTTCCAGTCCCAAGTATCCTCTGATATCTATGGCAAACTCTTAACTGTAAACCCTTGTAGAAATGAAACAAGGATAAACATTTTTGAAATACAAAGGCACAAGATAAACATTACCATTCCAAAAGTTATAAACAGGGGAATATAAAGCTTTGGAAACAAAGCAAGTCCAAAATCCAGTAGGGTGAACAATGTTCTAGAGTTGCATGCTCAGCATTTGAAGCAATCTAGTTACAAGTTCCAAGAGGCTTAGGTGATTCCACTCCCACAGCATTTCCAGGGATTTTAACTCCTGTAGCTTCTCTCTTAAACTCTCTCTGCTCGCTTTTTGCATAGCTTTCCTTGGATGATCCACGTTCCTGGCTTTTCCAAACTTCTAGGGTCTCCACTGCATCTTTGGCTTCACCCTTACATCTGTGCATATTGCCCTTATAGGGGCACACTGCTCGGCCTCCCAGACCCTTTGCAATCGAAGTGAAAGCCGTCTTCAGAATTTGTGTATTTTTCTTGCACCTAAAATCAGTGCCATGTGGATACCACCAAGGCCTGCTGCCATCCGAGCAGTAGCCAGGCTTTTCTCTCTTGTGGCTGTAGGGATAGATTGCCTGGATCACTGGGTTCTGTGAACCTGATTGTGAAGAAAAGTTTCTCTATGTTGCCACCATTCTGGAACCTCATGTGGCCTCTGTCACCATTCTGGAGCATGGTGCGCTGCAGTTTTCTCCTCTGAGCAAGTTCTTTCAGGTTTGCAGTTTTGAGGCTGCAAAAGGTGGAGACTCGCTGCTTCCTGGGATCCCCCAGGGCCATCTTTCTTAACTCTCTGTTTCTTTTCAGCAATCAAAGTCTCAATGCTGTCTTTACAATCCACAGCTTTTTTTTTTTTAATTTTTTATTTAAGGAGAAAAGAAAAAAAACAGTGAAGGGGTACAAGTTATACAGAAGAAAAAAATGCGCAGTAGGAAATCACTAGTTAATGGATTACATACCGTCATCCTAGAAATAACTGTTCAAGTCACAAAACCAAAGCCTGTAGAGTGGACATTCCAACAATGATACTGCAAACAGTTCTGTTCAATGATTCAATAAAACTCTGTGATATCATTTTCTATCTTATACACTTAAATATACATGCAGTTATATAGTTTAGAGCACTTTCTTTTCCTCTCTTTTGTACAATGACTATTACACATTTTGGGTTTCATTGCTCCCACGGTTCTTATTGCTTTTTTGGAAGAGAGTAAAACCAAATGTGACATAACAGAACAGAATCGGTCAAGTCAAAAGGGTGGACATAATAGATAATATAAAAACATAATACAAGGTGATCAACAATGGTTACCATAATGCCTCCCGCTATCTCTAATAGAATTGCCTATATCATTAGTTGTAATACAATTGAACAAAACAGTAAAGAACAAAACCGACAAAACCAAAACATTGGAGACATTGTAGGTCTTCAAAAGTAGATAAAAGTCAACGAGAATGGGCGTTATAATGAATCTCATTATCTTCTCAGCTGATGCCTAAACTTTCGAACCTGATACTATCCAGCAAAACAGAATAGAGGAACCTCAGTCAAAAACAAGATGGTGAGAGTAATACAGGGCTTCAAATCGAGATAATAGAAAGTCAAAGTGGGTTACTATATTATATCCTGCTATTTTTTCCCTTTAATTAAACGGATAAAAATAAAAAAGTAAATAATGGGGCAGAGATTGAGAAAAAAGAGGGCATAACAGCGAAACAGGGCAGATCAAAACATAACCATTTAAGCAGAATAGTGTTTCACCACCAGATAATTCCGACCCAAAAGTAGTTACCATATTGACTCTTTCCTTGAAGTCCTTGAGTACAACTTTGTATACTGTAGCATTAAGGATATCAAAACAATGTAAAACCATTTAAGAGAATGACAGCATTATAGAGTATTTAGAATCGACTAACAGAAAATGAACAATGGTTTCTGTATATTCTCCTTGTCTTTAATAGGTTTTTGCTTATACTATCGTACATAATAAAATCCAATAAGATACAACCTGTTTAGACCATTGGAGACAGAAGAACAAAAGCTAGATGAGACTTCAAAACAAGATGGTACTAAATCAGTATTACCTATTAAGATGTCATTTTCTCCAAAATAGCTGTTCCTATCATCCAATCTTCTCTGTCTCATTTCTGTTGAGCTCTTTTTCTGTCAGTAGCTGTCAGTTTGTCTTCTTCATTTTGTTCTCTGCTCCATTCATTGTGGCCTCCCCACCACTATTTCTGGGTTCTTTGTATTTTTCTCTTTTTAGAATATCCTGCAATACTTTCTGTAGGGTTGAATCGGTGGTTGCAAATTCCCCCAGTTCCTCTTTATCCTGGAAGCACCTTGTTTTTCCATCAATTTCCAGGGACAGTTGTGCAGGATATCTCAATCTTGGTTGGAGATTATTATCTTTCAAAGCTTGAATTATTTCCCCCCATGCTCTTCGTGATTTGATGGTTTGTGAAGAGAAATCTGCTGTAATTCTGATGGGTGTTCCCTTGTAAGTGGTCTGTTTCTTGTCTCTTACAGCTTTTAATATTCTGTTCTTGTATTGAATTTCTGGAATTTTTATTATTATATGCCTGGGTGTTTCTCTGTTAGGGTTGTAGGTAGCTGGGGTCCTGTATGCCTCACACATCTGAGTATCTTTATCTTTTGCTAAATTAGGAAAATTCTCCTGGATTATTTCTGTGAGTAGCTTTTGTAGTTCACTTGTTTGTGTCCCTACTTCTTCTTTTATGTTCTTAATCCTTAAGTTATGGCTCCTCTTATCATCTTCTTGTCTTTGTATTATTGCTGTTTGTTTCTTTGTTATTTTTAAGAAGTTTTTCATTTCATTCTCCCATATTACAAGTCTGCCCTCCAGTTCAGATAGTCTGTCCTTAGTTTCTTTCAAGCTGTTATGCCAGTCTTGGATAGACTTCTTAATTTCTTGATAGTCCCTTTGAACCTGCTTCACATACTCTATGCTTTCTCTGTTTTCTCCATCAAGCAATTCTCCCCTCTTTTTCTGTTCTTCCATTCCACCATCTGTTTTTTCCTGGGTGGTGCTTAGCATTTCTCTAACTATTCTGCATACTTCTAGCTTCAGGTCGTTGATAACTTCATTCCTGAATTGGTCTATGAGGCTCCCTATATGGCGCTTAATGTATATTGGTGCGGTGTCCACTATTGCCTGTTTCTCAGAATTGGGGGCTGAGGAGCCTTTCTTGTTGCTTCCCTTCCCCATATTTTCTGTTCCTTATAAAATGCAAGCTTACATAGGAGGCCCGCTTCCCTGCCTGTCAGCCACAGCCTGATCAAATTGCGCTGGCTAGGTGTTCCCGCCCACCGCTGCGCACCAGGGAGTTGCGGAGGAGGCAGCCTACGCGGGAGTCAGTCGCTCCTCCGGGCCACCTTCAGGCTCTGGGATCTGGGTTAGGCCAGCCTACTGAGTCCGCCCGCAGCGTCACGCAGGCCAGGCACTTTTTACCAATCCCATCCGAGAGGGGAATGTGCGGCTGGAGTCGCCACCGCGCCCTGCTCTTACAGGACTGCCCGAGCCCAGAAAGTCCTCCGCTGGAGTCAAACTGTGGTAGAGTGTCAGTTTCTCTCACTCACCTCGCCACCAGTCAGTTTTCGTGTATGCCTCCTTGTCCGTCCTGTTTTCGACTCCGTTCGCAGACTCCCGTTTCCAGAGCTTCTGCGCGTCTCTCCTTGGTGAGCCGCTGTGGAAGCAGCCAGCCGCCCTGTGGCGGGAAACCCAAATCGTGGTTTCCAATGGCGCGGGGTCGAGCCTCCACACCGAGTCTTTTCTGTTCCTATTTTAGCGCCAGGACTGTATTCTAAGTTGGTTTCTCTCAGCCCAGTTCGTTCCTGAGTCAGCAGAGCATATCTCTACCGGTTCATGTCTCCTTAGTCCGCATCATTCCTGGCCTCTGAGCTGAGCCTTTCAGAGAGCCTCCGGTAGTTGCTGTTGTCTGTCCGCCATGTTCTCCTGGAAGTCAGTTTTTGGAGGTTTCAGTCCACACCCAGTTGGGTCCAAGACAGGCAGGCATGGCTGGGCTGCAGTTCATGGCGGCCGCCCACAGCCACAATCCACAGCTTTACTGGAGCTTTCCTTCTGGCTAAACTGACAGTATTGTAAATTGTCCTGCTGGCCTCTTTGCTCTTGATTTGCAACATAAAGCTGGCTAAAAGCTTCCAAGTATCACCATCCCACAGCCTCAACATTTCACTGCCTTGAAATTTCCTTTGCCAGATTAATCAGTCCATTGCCCTTAGTCTAAGTCTCAGGCAAAGTCTCTGGGCATGAGCAAAATGCAGGCCCCCAGGACTCATGCCAAGCCATAACACACATCATGGGGAGTCCAATAACCAATGCAGCCCTTCTTCCCAGCAGAAACCTCCCAAGCCTGGTCTTTACCATGAGGCTTTCTATCAGCCTTCCGGTCTTCTGAGCTCTGAACAGAATCTCCTCTACAGAACAACCTAAACTGTTCCAGCTCTATGCATCCAGGCGACATGCCTGAACCTTTCCAAACTTTGCCCACAAGCCATTTCCAAAGCCTCTTGAAAAACATGGTTAGGTATAATCATAGCAATGACCCCACTCTGGATACCAAATTCTGTCTTAGTTACTTTTTACTTGTTGCTGAGACAAAATACCTGATGCCCAAAATTGGGAAAGGAAAGATTTATTTCTTAGTTTTTGGAGGTGTTAGTCCAGGTTTCAGTTGGCTCCAAGACAGGGTGGCATGGTGGGGTTGCAGTTCATGGCAGCTGCAAACAGCAAGGCAGAAACTGGCAAGAGAGAGAAACACACCTTCTTCCTGCCATTATATCACATCCTGGCTCTACCCCTTGGCTGGTATAGCACTCATACTTCCAATCCAAGTGCTAGACAATGAACCAATCAAAAATGCATAATGCAAAGGCATGAGGTTTGGAAGCCACTGACATGAATCATCACATGGTTATAGCTTGGATGGGGCTATTGCCCCACCACAGCCCAAGTGGTCATAGGAGGGCTTCTCAGAGATGGCTGGAACTAGGATGTGTAATGCTGGATTAAGGATGATATGCTAGGATTAATGGTGCGATGTTAGGGTTAAAGGTGGCTATCCCAGGTGTGAGTGATACCCGTCCTTAGGTAGGTAGCCTAAGTAGAGTGTAAGGGACAGAAAGAGAACTACTGTTTGCTGCTTCATGCTTTAGTTTTTGCCGCTTCACTGCTTTGCTGCTATTTACCTGCCATGAACCATTTTCTCCTCTCTGTCATGCCACCTTGCCTTGTAGCAAGCCAATTATGAGCTGTAACCTGTGAAAACTGTGAGCTACAATACACCTTTCCTCCTTTAACTTTGGGTGTCTGGTATTTTGTCTCAGCAACAAGAAAAATAACTAAGACATTTGTCTATGTGCTTATTATTCATCCTTTCCTACTAAAATATGAGTCCCAGGAATCTTTCCTGTTTACCAGGGTATAACTGGATGCTAGGTCAGTACTGACACATAGTAGATGTACATATGTGTGAAATTTATGAATTTCACTTTCTGTAATGATTTGTCAAATGAGAATATAAACCCTTTACAGTTATACTCCTATGTTTGCCAGTTAGCAAACTAAATTTTATTTAAGGATAAATTTTTCTTGAAGTATGTACAAAGTATGATTTTTAAAAATTTGCTGGAACTTGCCTACTGTTCATTTGTGCATCTTGTCTCTTTTCAGAGAGAGTTTAAAATGATTTTCAAATAAAAGTCATATATAATAGACCTGATGACATAAAAAATGAAAACTAGAAATTGAATTAGAAAAGACAGTTTTAAAAATTTGAGTTAAAATAATTTCTATAATCAAACATGCAATTTTAGCTAAACTTCACAGTATACAAAGCAAAATACTGGGTATTTTTAACTCTTATTATCTGATAAAGGGAATGCAGCTAATAGTTAACCTAATAAGAATGGTTTTTAATATTAAATTCTAAAGAACTTGTGTATAAAACAATATTTATGTAATTATCTTCTATATAATAATGTCTTTATTAGATCTTTGCTTGAACCCAAATTATTAAAATATAATTTATTAAATTAAGGTATTTCTTTAGAAATACTAAACTTGTCATTTAGATATACTTTCTGATATAGTCACTTAATATAGGCACTAGTTGTTTGTTCAATGTTTATTATTTTAAATTTTATTTGTGTACACTTACTTTGAGTGGTCAGGTAGCAATCAATTTAAGATAACTATTGAATGGCCCTGAATCAAGGCTGATAGTTTTCTGAAGTTGTTGGTTTCAAGCAGGCACTAAAGCTGTGTCATTCCATGTTGTGTCAGCTATTTCAGAACTTTAGAAATGTAATGGTCAGTTTGTTAGAAAGAAACAACTTTCCCAGTAAGCCCACCACTGCAGGCGGGAGAGAGTGATGCACCCCTGGTGAGCCTGCCTCCACATGCCCAGAGGAGAAGAAGTCACACTTCCCAGTGAATTTGCTGCCACAGGCCTGGAGTAAAGGACATCACATTCTCCTGGTGAGCCAGCCACTGCATCCTGGAGGAGAAGAAGCTACACCCCCTAGTGAGCTGGCTACTGCATCTTGGAGGAGAGGAAGTCATGCCCCTAGGGTTCCACTGCCATTGGAGAAACATCAGTGAGCAGCCACACTGCATATTTTGGCCACCTTGTGGATCTTGGATCAGAGGAACCCAGGTACCTAGCCCAGCCCACTGTGCAGCCAATGCAGGAGACACCTGAAACTTAGCAAGCCACTGGTTCAAGGAACACAGAAAAATATCAAGATGGAGCAAGGTGCATTCTCAAACCACCAGCCCATCCAGAACAAAAGTCCAGGAGACCTGGACACAAAGGAATTACAAGTCACACACTTGAAATTTCTGAAAAGACAGCAACTGAAGCAAAGAGACATTAAGCGCTTATATAGTTTAACGTTGTGTGCTTAAACCTCACTCAGAACAAGTCCATAGTCACTTAATATAAGCACTACTTGTTTGTTATGTTTTTATTATTTAAAATTTTATTTGTGTACACTGACTTTGAGTGGTCAGGTAGCAATCAGTTTAAGATAACTATTGAATGGCCTTGAATCAAGGCTGATAGTTTTCTGAAGTTGTTGGTTTCAAGCAGGAACTAAAGTTGTGTCTTTAAAGTTGTTGCTTATATTAAGTGACATAAACACAGAGGAAATTAGAAGTCACACATCTGAGATTTCTGAGATTATAGCAACTAAAGTAAAGAAACACAGTGCTTGTGCTGTTTGATTGACTTTACATGCCTGTTTCTGGTGGTCCAAGCTTCTATTTAGAGGACAATAGTGTGCATGACAGTAACCATGGTTGATTTCTTTCAATCTTGGTTTTGAAATCCAATTTTGTTCCCATTGTTTTGTTTTGTTTTGTTCTCTGTAAAATAAAACAGATAACTATTGGATAGGATGCAAAGTCATTAATTATGTCTTAAAGGAAAATTAGCATATATTTTCATAAAGTAGATAATCTATTTTGAGAATTAAGAAGGTTGGCTTTTATTCTTACCTATATTGATAATAATGTTTTAATAACTTTCCAGTTTTTAATTTTTTTATCCAATGGCTCCTATATTTCCAAAGCTCCCCAAGATAAATGTCAGGAGACAGAATCAGAACTCAAGTCAGAACTGACTTGAAGTTACTTTACCTCTTCCACTAAAACTAACCTAACTTCTAAATAAAAAGATTAGTTCTAAGAAAATTTGCAATGACTACATTTTCTCTGGTACCAGAGAAGTTTTTATTTTTGTATTCTGATTGTTTGTTGTAGTTATAGAACATTGCACAGATTATTTTTACCTAGACTGCTTTTGTAAAGGATTTTTGTTATAGCTTGGCATCCATCATAAAAGATTTCCCAGCTGGGCATGGTGGTTCATGCCTGTAATCCCGGCACTCAGGAGGCTGAGGCAGGAGGATCATTGCGAGTTTGCGGCCTAGGTTACAAAGTGAACTCAAAGTCAGCCTGAACTGCATAGAGAGAACCTGTCTCAAAAAGACCAAAAAAAAAAAAAATATTTTCCTATACCTTTTGACCATCTAATTTTTCTCTTTATCTGTCTTTCAGTCTGTCTGTCTGTCTGTCTGTCTCTCTCTCTCATTATTAGGAATTGAACTCAAGGTCTCATGTGTGGTAGACAAGTGCTCTATCACTAAGCTACACATCCCCAGGTCTTCTTATTTTATTTTGAGAATGAGTCTCACTAAATTGCCCAAGCTAGATTTGACTTGAGATCTTCCTGCTTCAACCTCTCAAGTACCAGAGATTACAAATATGTACCACCATACATGGCAGCTCATTTGATTTTTTAATAACATTTCCAGATAGACGTCATGGAAGAATTAGCTATAAAACCACACATAATTGAAGACACAGATATAAATAAGGAAATCATTTAGTATTATCCAATTGGAAAATGGAAAGTACTGCATTTTCTCTAATTAGAAATATTGACTTTGGCACAATTGATATTAAACCGTTTTTTGTTGTGAGTGATATTAAGACCAGGACACTAACTTTAAGGCATGAGGCATTCTTTATGTAATGAATATAATACAATTTATAACAAAGTCTTATAGCTAAAATTTTTTTTAAATACAGCAAGGAATAGATTCAAGATTGGCAAATACTTTTTTAAAATATAACATCTACATAGTAACTACATTTAAATTAAGACAACTCTAAGTGTCCTAGAAGCCAAAATATAAAAGGAAACATGTCAGGTATGTCACTAGCCTTAGCAGAAAAAAATAGTTTTTTATGTGGAACTTTATTTAGGGCCAGTTTGATGATGTGGAAAATGCATCCCTAGTAAAAATCTTTAGAAAATATAGTAATGTTTCTTGTCAATTTATTGTCTTTTATTTATTTTGAAGAGAAGAAAAAAATTTCAAAACATGATAATTAGGGGTAACAATGGCATATACATTGCATATTGTTATCTTCAAATCAGTTACTCAGAGTACAAGACATCTGCATTTAATAATACTAGCACAAAACTTTCTCTTCAATGAACTGAGAGAAATCAGTAGTATAATCTTGTCAATTCTGACAAAAGATGGTACAAGTTATTTAAAAATACAAGAAGAGAATCTGTTTTACATAAGGTTCAAATTTTATGCAGTTAATATAACTGCAAAATTTATAACTTAAGGTCTCGCCTCAAATTTGTGCTCCTCTTGCCTCAGCCTTCTGAATAGTTGGTATTATAGGAATGCACCACCATATCTTACAACATTTTTAAGTGTGAGCATGCTTGAAAGCAGCAAAGGTAACAGTTAATCTGAAATTAAAGTTAGTGGTAGATGGTGTTGAAAACTTGGGAAAAAGAAGAAAGTTTAAAATGTTTGCAGTGAAGATCAGGAGAAAGAACTGATGAAATATCTATCTATTCCATTGGATTTCATTTGTAACAAGTGAACAAGCCACCGGAGAGGTAGTTTGTAAAGCCCCTTTGACTATCCATATAAACCATTAGATTACAGAATCTAGATCCATATTGTTGTGGTTTAGATGGAGAATGCCCCCCAAAGCCTCCCACACTCAGAGGCGGAGCTTTTAGGTGATTAGTTCAGAGGGCACCCCGGATGGTGCTGTTAGGAATTGAACCTGGTTAGAAGAAGTTCACTGCAAGTGTGACCTGTAGGGCATCTCTCCCTCCTTGGCTCCTCCATTCTTTCTCTGCTTCCTGCTTGCCATGACTTGAGCATCTTTCCTTTACCAGACCCTTCTGCCATGCTCTTCCTACCACGGAGCCAGCCAACTATGGACTGAACCCTTGAAAAACCGGGAGCCAGAATAAAATCTCTCCTCCTTTAGGTTGTAGGTGTCAGGTGTTTTGTGGTAGAGACTAAAAAAGTAACTAAGACAGTAGTTGACCATAGTATCATAAACTTTTTTTGAAATCTATACTAATGGATTTATTACTTTAGAAAGCTAGGGGATTAACCTATTATGAAAATTGGTAAGTTGTAGCCCATAAGTACAGCTTTAGTAGCATCCCCCAAGCTTTGATGTATTGTGTTTTTATTTTATTTGTTCTCTCCCTTTTTTAGCCCATGAATTACTTAGAAATGTATTATTTATAAATTTTAATGGTCTTCAACTAAAAAATTACTATGTGCACTTGAAAAAAATGATACATTGTTGTTGTTGGGTTAAATTTTCTGTAGTCTATTAGACAGTTGATCAATGAGGTGATATCAATACATGGCTTCTAGGGTTTCCCTGGGAGTCATCTCCATCCCAGTCAGGGGGAAAGGGCAGAGCAGAGTGCTCAAGAGGTTTTTGTGACATCACTGGCACTCAGATTCTATTGGTCCAAACTCAGTCACATGGCTTCATCTAATGGTATGTGAAGCTGGGTCAAGTTCACCTTTTAGCTTGAAAATAGAGGAAAATGTCTTTGGACAACCAACCAGCAATGTCTTGTTGTTCTCTGGAAGAGATTCTATAAGATAAGAAATTGTTAGATCATCGGTATACTGTAGAAATTGTAAAGTTTTCAGGACTTGCTGTTTTCTTTGAGGGAAAAATTTGTAACTGCTGTTTTAGTTTGATATATCGTGTGTACTTGGGTTTTCTATTATTTTTTGATATTTAAAGAAAATTTTAAATTCTGCATCTGATTTTTGCTGTTTCTGTTGTTTGCTAGCTTGTTCCTGCTTCTGATTTAGTAGGTTAGGATTTCCAAGAGCTCCACTGGATGGTTTGTCTTGGGTCCACATAGAGTCAGCTGGATGAACTGGAACAGACAGACCCATTCCCAAGATGTCTGGTGCCTTGGTGCATTTGCCTTCTTTTCCTTTCAATAAGGGCACTCTTTGTCCAGCCTTTCTTGGGCTTCCTCGCAACACTCCTGAGGAGAGTCCTGCTTCTAACGTAGTGCCTGGCATCTAAAAAGGGGAAAGGGAAGTTACAAATCCAGTTAAGAGCTATGTGCAGAACTAGTACTACATTATGTCAGCTGTACTCTACTAATTACAGTGGTCCAAAAGCCTACTGAGCTTCAAGTAGATGAAGGAATAACATCTCCTTAGAAGAAAGAAACATAATTTAATACTTTTTATTATATTTGATTACACAAACATGGTATTTCAAAACTAAGATTTGAGAGGCACTATCTTGCAACTAGAAATTACTTAAGAAACAAAAGTATGAAAACAACAAAATCTTTATCATGTTCCTTACTACTTGACAATATGCTCCCATCAAAAGATCTTCAAGTAGTTTTATATTATTTAGCCCCTTTCCCCAAACAATATACTCCTTGGTTGTCTTAGGACCCTTCTGGTTCTAAATAGCCTTTTATGAAAGCATTTTCCAGTTGCTTTCTGCTATGATATCAGGTTTCAGAATCTTAATGAAGTGTTGATCAACCAGACTGCATCTCTTGCTTCCTTTATTTCTAATTATCTTTTTTTAATTTAGTGATATACCTTTAAAGTTCCTCTATGTCATTTTTTAAGAAAAAGATAAAATAAAGTTTCAAAATTAGGTAATTGAAGAATAACAATTGTTAAAACATTGCATATTGTTATCTTTAAATTAGTTGCTTAGAGTACAAGTTATTGGCATTTAATTTTCCAAACAATATTAGCACAAACATTTCTTTTCAGTGAGCTAAGAGAAAGCAGTAGCATGACCATCTTAACTATCACATGTGTATAGCTTGATTTATTTCACTTATGAGTATGGTCTGTAGTTCCATCCATTTACCTACAAAAACGTCAAGTTTATCCTTCTATATGGCTGATAAAAAGACCACATCTTTTTTTTTATCTATTCCTCATTTGGGTTGTTTCCAGGATCTCAGATGCCCATTTTTGGTGTGGGTCTTTAAATTTGGGAAGACTGAATTTTTTGAGTTCTTCATATATTCTCAATAGTAATCCTTTGTATGAGGAACAACTGACAAATATTTTTTCCCACATTGTAGGTTGTTTCTTCACTTTGCTGGCAGTTTCTCTTATAAGATGAGGTCCCAGTTGTTAATTCTTTGTGATAGTTTCTTTGCCTACATCAACGTCTTCAAGATTTATACCTATTCTATCTTACAGTAGATTTAATGTTTCTCTTTTAATATTTAGATATTTACTCTAAATTTAGTTTAGTGTATGGTGAAAAATATGAGTCCAATTTTGACCTGCAGCATGTGCAGAGCCAATTTTTCCAGTACTGTTTACTAAAAAGGCTATCTTTCTTCCAGTAAATGTGTTTGGCACCTTGGTCAAAGATGAAGTGGCTGAGCATGTCTGGGGTTGTTTCTGCATCTTCCAGTCTGTTCTACTGATCATCAAGTCTGGTTTTTTTGTTTGTTTGGTTTTTGTTTGTTTGGTTTTTTTTGCCAGTACTACCTTGTTTCATTTTTTTAAAATCACAGTAGCTTTATAGTATAATTTCAAGTCAGGGACTGGGATGCCCCTGTTGGCCTTTGTTGCCCAGAATTGCCTTTGCTGTTTTGGTTACAGATGAACCAACTCTTTGATTCATTGATCCTTTGTATTGTTTAGTCTCTGATATTTATAATTTCTTCCCTTGCATGAGCTTGTGGCTTAGCCTTCTCTTCTTTTTCTAGAAACTTGAGGTCCACCATTAAGTTGTTTATTTGCAATTGCTCTGTTTTCCTGATGTGGATATTTACTGTTATAAATTTTCTACCTAGGATTGCTTTCATTGTGTCCCGTAAGTTCCATTATATTGTACTATCATCATTGTTCTGGTATAAAAACTGTCTAATTTCTTCTTTAATTTAATCTGTGACCTCATTGGTTGTTCAGTAGGGTGCTATTTAATTTCCATGTGTTTATGGAGTTCTTATGGTTTCTTTTGCCACTAATTTCCAATTTCATTGCACTATGGTCTGAAAATATGCATGGGATAATTTCAATTCCTTTGAATTTATCAGGATGTGGTCTTTATAGAGAATGTCCTCTGTGCAACTGAAAAGAATGTATATTCTGAGCACGTGGGGTAGAACACTCTGTAGACGTCTACTAAGTCCACTTGTTTCAGTTCTAATATTTCATTGTCAATTTTTTTTTGCCTAGTTGATCTGTCTGTTTGTGACAGGGGGGTGTTGAGATTCCCCCATTACAATTGTATTAGTATTTATTTCATTTGTCATGCCTGTTAATATTTGCTTTATATAGTTGAGTGTACTGGTATTTGTTGCATATATATTTATACTTGTTATCTCTTCTTCTTGGATTACTCCCTTTACAAGACTGTAGTGAGCTGTTTTATCTCTCTTTATCAGTATTGGCTTGAAAGCCACTATGTCTGCAAATAGAATAGCTACACCTGCTTTTTTCCATGTTCCTGTTGCATGGAGTATTGTTTTCCATCCTTTGATTTTTCAGTCTATGAATTTCTGTTTGAATTAAATGCGTATCTTGTGTACAGCATATTGTTGGATCTTGCTTCATGATCCATTCTGCCAATCTGTGTCTTTTGATTGATGAATTGAGACCATTAACGTTGATGATTGTAACTGTTATGTACTGACTTACTCATCATGTTGTTTTCTTGTAGTTGCCTCCCTTCCTTTCTCCCCTCCCTCTGTCTAATTGTTTGGCTTGCCTGGTGGATTTCTTCTGTTGGGATTCAAGGAGTTTTAGTCTTTGTTATTTGTTTCTTGAACACCTTTCAAAACATTTTAGAGTGCTGGTTTTGTTGTTTGAACTGTCCTTAAATGTTCTTTGTCATGGAAGTATCTTATTACCATAAGTTTTGAAAGATAGTTTTGTGGGGTACATCAATCTCAGTTGAAGGTTTTCTTCTTTAAAAACTTGAAATTCTTTGCTCCAAACTTTCCTTGAGGGTTTGTGTTGAGATGTCAGTTGTAAGATGAACTTTCCTTTATAGATGATTAGTTTCTTTTCCCTAACAACTTTTTAAGATTATATTTTTGTGTTGAATTTCTGGAATCTTGACTATTACATGCCTGGCTGTAGAATGAAGTCTGTGAACAGGTTTTTTTTTTTTCTTTTTTTAATATCATTTGTGGTATTTTCTGCTTTCTGATTGACTCCAACCAATCCAATTATTTCTCTTTGTCTCATCTAGCGCAGCTACTGGGCTGATTTCTTTTTCTTTCTTTCTTTTTTTTTTTTTTTTTTTTTTTGTCTTTTTGTTTTTATCGGTACCAGGGATCGAACTCACGACTGCCTGCTTGCAAGGCAGGCGCTTATGCCGCTGAGCTAAATCCCCAGCCCCTGGACTGATTTCTTATGGACCATTGATATTTTTGAGAAATCTTTCTTTTCATGATCATTAACTGCAAGCCTGTCTTCTATATCTGTGATCATGTCTTCTCATTGCCTTAATCAATACAAGTATTTTCAATGGAACTTTATTCTCCTGGAAATCTGCTTGAATTTGCCTTAGGGATTCCATTTCTTTCCTATGCTGAGCATTTATAGCTTCCATCATTTTCTTAAGTTTTTTTTTTTTTTTTTTTTTGGTCTGTATCTGCTCTAGTATCACTAAAGATAATCTTCATTGTGGACACCATCTCAGCAGGTATTTGATAAATTATTTGTGACTTGATTTTTTGCAGAGCCTCATTGAATTGCTTTGTTGCTACCACCTCAGAGAGGCCAGGTGGGAAGCTTTCAGATTGTTCCACCTAATTGCCTCCTTGATTTTCCTTTGATGAACTAGTTGTCAGGGAACGTATCTTGTTTGTATGTCTTCTTTTTCTTTTCTTTTTTTTAGTTGAATTCTGGGAGATGCTTGTAAGTTGCCTGTGGTGGGTTGTTTTATTGCTAGAAATTAGGATCCTTAGATAATGACTACTTCTCTGAGGTATCTTCTTGATTTTCGGGTTAGAGTCTGTTGAAAGATCCTGTCTTTTCAATTCATTGGAGATGAGAAGTTTCTGCTTGTTTGGCCCAATTCCTGATCATTTGGCATTGTGCCACAGTATTTTCTGGGACACAGTCAATTTCAGTCATGCACTACCAGGAAGAACAACTGTTTAGAACAATTAAATCATTTTGGGCTATAGTGGTGCCAATAGCAGCAAATACAGCCTAGAAAATTACAGAGTGAGATAATAATTAATTTTCCACTTTTAATGGAATGAACTAGATTGTGGTGGTTGCATCATAAAATCTAAAACAAACCAGAAAATTATATTCAGTATACAAGTCTTTAATATGTCAATTTTGCCCTCATGAGTTAAAATATAAAATGGGTTAGCCAGGTGTGGTGGCTCACGCCGGTAATCCCAGCATTCGGGAGGCTGAAGTAGGAGGATCATTGTGAGTTCAAGACCAGCCTGGGCTACAAAGTGAGCTCAAGGCCAGGCTGAACTGCATAGCGAGACCCTGTTTCAAAAAAGACAAAAAAATAAAATGGGTTAAGGAGAAAATAGAGAAGGAGAAGAAAAGGAAGAGATTAGAAGTAAGATTGAAGGACAATAGGGAATAACACTAACTTTGGGAAACTGGACAGAAGACTAGAAGGAAAGATAAAAGGAAGAACAGAGTAGAATCTCCATCATGAAGAGGCTAGAAACCACATTCATACTCATAACAAAGCAAGATCAAACAATGAAGGAGAAAAAAATTACAACAAAAAAATGAAGGGGAGAGAGAGAGAGAGAGAGAGAGAGAGAGAGAGAGAGAGACAGACAGAAGCCCACTTCCATGTTTGTCTGCTGTCACTGGTAGACAATATGTGGAGACAGAGTCCAAATCCATGCAATGTATTCCTGCAAGCTAGCAGTAGCTTATTGATGGGGTAGTGGACAATCTCAGCAAAGTTGTACTCTCTGGCCAGCACCAGACTCATCTGGCCTGCAGCTATCAGTGCACCTTCCATGGGTCTGGGGATTTAACTCAGTGACATAAGCACCTGCCTGGCAAATGCAACATCATAAGTTCAATCCCTAGTACCACCAGCAAAAAAAAAAAAAAAAAAAAAGTCTTATGTCAGAAGACTTCCAGGCATGATATATTCTTAGCTGGACTGAGAAGAAAAAAACTTGACAAGAAAAGGAGCAGGTTGGATATATACATAGAAAAACAAAACCAAAGTTTCAAATCATGGCAGGGTCAAAGAAATGCACTATGGAAGCTAATCTGCAAGATGCCTGTGACATTCTCTAACACACAGTGTTTACACTATTGTATAATTTAAATAGTCTATAGTTTTATTTACATAGAGAATAAAGATACTCCTATCAAATAATCTTTTATTATTTTTTGTAGGATTGCTTAACTACCTAATCTATTTTCTGGCTGCTTGTGCTGTTAGTTTGGGAATAGGTTTCTTTGCATTGGCATCAGCTTTGTGGTTCCTGATTTGTAAACGAAGGTAAGATTTATTAGAATATTGAATTTTATCTCTTAAAATTCAATGAAGAGCTTTTTCAAATAATATTTAACTCAGCTGGGAATGGTGGCATATGCCCATCATCTCAGCACTTGGGAGGCTGAGGCAGTACAATCCCCACAAGTTCAATGCCAGCCTGGGCTACATAGGGAGTTCAGAGCAAGCCTGAACTATATAGCAAGACTGTGTCTCAGAAGAACCCCCCAAATTTAAAAAATATATGTATTATACTTAAATAATTATTATAGTATTGATTTTATAATCTGGGATTTGATCATAGGTCTTTTGGTTGAAGAAAGAAGGTTTTATGTGTTTTAAATAAATTGAAAGAAAATAGACTAATATAACAGAAATTTTGTGCTTTAGAAGTTTAAGGGACATCAAGCTCTATTTTATTTTCTAGAAGACATTGCAATTACAAACAGAAATACTGAAATGACACCCAGGACTTGAAGGTAGATTTATTTATGTTGATGGGCACTGACGGGAGATCATTCCCAAAATATCAGGCCCTGATCTCTGATGGTCTAGAGCTTTTCTGAGATAAGCAAGCAAGAAATACAGAGGCAGAATGGCTTGGCAATTGGAGATTAATTTATACAATGTGTATCACAGTGACCAGCTATGCATCACAGTGACCAGCTGTTTCTAAGAGACAGGAGCAACAAGAATGAAACAGAAACTATTGCCTACGCAACTAACAAACTGAAGTGTACTGGCTAAGGGGGGCGTACTTTGTGCTACATCCCCCGCAACTCTTTGATTTCCCTAGCAAATCTTTGCTACGCATATTACATTTAATGATCTTTTGAGACAAGGTCTAACCAGAAGGGTTGTCAGTGATCTTAGGATGGGCTATAGTCAAAGTCCCCAAGACTGAAAGTTTTTTCCACCAGAAGTTTGTGGTTTGTTCACCTTATTATAGTTTCCCCCAAAATTGACTCTGACAAGGAAATGAAGGACTTATTCTGATCTAGGAAAATGTCCAATGTGTCTTGGATATTCGTCAAATCTTGGTCAAGCATTTTTTCTATTCTCTTAGAGCAAGCATTCATAGATGTAAGGCAAAAACAAAAACAAACAGCACACAGCTATCAGGGAGCAGAAAAGCAAGGACTGGATTTAAGCAGAGCCCAGGTCAATTAAGAAAAACCACAGCAACAGGGGGCAATGCTGTGAACTATGTCCATGGGCCTCAGCCGTGTGTGTGGACTGGTCAGCATCCAGAATGACCAGAGCGAGACTTTGAGTGCACTGTCTCCTTAAAGTGAGCCTCAGAGGAATCATCCAGGTAAAATTTTCAATGAATCTAAGGCTGGATTTCTGAAATTTGTACAAGTAGTTAAAATGTACCTGCTTCTGTAGGATTACATTTTATTTCTGTGTAATCTATCTATGTATCTTTAAATGGAGAGAGTCCACCCTAACGTATGAGGTCAGGGCCAGTGACACAGATGCTGAGGCCTGAACTAGCTTCAGGGGTATGGGTGCCAGTACAGCAGCTTGAGCTTGCAGAACATATGGTGAGGGCAGGTCGATGGCTGGGGTTGATTGTTTTCAGTTAATCAAATCCCCAGAGGAGGGTTAGGCCTCTGGACAAAATTATCTTGTGTCACTGGTAGCAGGTTTCCAAATAGCATCAGAAAGCAGTTTGCTATACACTCATCGCTTCAGGACAATCTTGGCCAAAATAGTTTTGTCCAAGGTGACCACAGCATATTTAGCCTGTCACACTTTATTCCTAAGAGAGCTACTTCCATATGTAAACAGATTGGTCATGGGGGTTTATTTTTTAGAAAAGTGCATTCCAATGCAGCATATGGCACGTGGACAGCTAGGCCTTGGTCTAAGGTGAGCTTGTCATCTTTCTTGATCAGAAGGACAGTGGCTGGTAGAGTGCAGAGACAAAGGGGGAGGCAGGCCTTTCGGGTCACTGGGCACTCCCAGGGACTGATAATTTGAGTAAGCATATAGAAGTGAAGTGATCTTAACTACAGAGACTGAGTCCAGGTGAGTTAACCTTTGAGTCCAGAATTGAGGTCTTTGTGAAGAGGGGCTGACTGACAGGAGCCAACTCAAGAAAGAAGGTATTCTTTAGGTCCAGGTAGGTGTACCAGCAGTTTGTGGGTGGCAGGAGACTGAGGCAATTATGGTGGCATTGGCAGCTCAGAGATCTTGAACTGGCTTTACTGGCAGGGGAGGTGTATTTTAGTTGTTTGACAGTCTACAGATATTCTGTAATTTTGAAGCTTCATTTTTTTTTCTTTCTCAAGGGACTATGATGGCTAGGGTCTCTCTAAAAATATTGAAAAGTTCTTAGCCTGTTATTGGCAATTGAGTCCAAGTGAGCTGGCCTTCTGTCTGAGGGTTCTCCCAGCTGAAGGGGCTTATGAGAGCAACTTGCAAGTAGAGGAAGGCATCTTTTAAATCTTGGGAACTTCAGAGTGCAAGGTGATGACTGTATTGCTGATGGCATGGAGATTTTGCCCAAGGTGATTAAAAACCTATCAGACTGATGTGTGGCTGGATGCCTGTTTTTGTTCCCTGTGATATTTGACAGCAATGGGGGTGGCCACAGTGAGGTGGCATGGTTGGTGGTAAGGCCAAGAGGCAAGTTTTTGACTCATACCTTTGAGAGGAAAGTTTTCAGAATTTCAGGAGTATGATTATCTATCTCAGACATTGTCTTTCTCTCAGGAAACAATTAGGGTTGAAAGTGCAGGGTTAAACAAGACAGAGGCTGACTAACTTGGTGCAAAAGAGATGATCACTTGTAATTTGAAGAGAAAATCTCTTCCCAGATGTGGTATGGAGACTGGCTTACACAGGAGATGTCCTCCCAGGCTGCAAATTTGTGTCTGGCAAAAAGAGCAAGAGGCAAGAATCCTAGTTTCTCCAATGACAGTGTGAGGGGCTGCTGGTGACCTAGCTGAAAAAGGAAGCTCAATTTGGCCTAGTCTGAGTCTGACAGACCAATGAGTTCTATCATCTGATCCAAGTTGAAGCTTTTGAAAGTGGTTATGTTAATAATCTGAATGGACATTTATTTTTTTAGTGACCATAGTCCTTATAACTCATAGCCAGTGACAGTGGTCATCTGTCAGACTGGATTTTCTTGTGGACATCAGGTGCTTTTTAAAAAAAATCATCCTTCTAGGTAACAGTGGTTGATGGTCCTTTTGTCCCCCTTTTTGATGTCTTTGAGATGTGCTTGACTGGTTTTAGGTTTCTAGACAGGGTGACCTTTGGGAAAGGCCATAGCAACTCATTTGTCAGAGCTGACAGTCCAATTTTTCCTCAGTCAAATGTGGAACTTGAAGGAACTGATGACAGTCACCTCAAGTGGCCATTAGATGACATCATATGACCAGGATAGAAACAGGTTCTGGAGGGAGTGCCTGTGTGGCTGAATACAGGCAATACAGCTGAAACCAGTTTAATTGGCCAGAAGTAGATGAGTCGGGAGTGGGGAGTGAAGCTATAGGTGTTGGTAGCAATTGCGGCAGCCAACAAGGGTACAAGGTGGAATTCTCAAGGAAAATGGGCCTTTCTTTTCTTTTTCTCAGAAATGGAGGGAGCAATTTGGTTTCATTTTTAGCTCTGTAAAAGCCTTTTTTTTTTTCTGCAGTCAAGGATGGTGAGTTTTGACTAATTCTGATCTCTAACTTTCTATGTGTGTGTTGTGCACCCCCAACAGACAAAGGGCAGGTACACCTCAGAGAGCAAGCCATTCAGATGCCCACCTGGCCACACATCCCTCACAGAAACTTAGGTGCAACTTAGCTAAGGATGATATGAGGCGTCTGTTATTTCATATGTTGATTGCCACAGAATCACGGGTAAGGGCCCATTGTCACCATGAACAGTGCTTTCCAGTCTTGTTGCACAGATGGAGCAGCCTATTGCTTATGCTGTCTGGTCCACTCACTCACACAATCATTCAGCAGACACTCAGAGGTTAAATATCCAATCCCCCCTCCCTCGAGGGTAGCCTTAACTAACAAGAGTTGATCAAGCTTTTATTCTGTCCAAACTGGACTAACTGGGATGTCCCAGGATTCTTACCAGAATCAGGCAGGACAACAGGCAGGCAGACAAAATGTATCCTCTTTCTTTTTGGGGTCTGATGAGGACCCCAAGAGGAATCCTCCTCCAGACCTCTAAGGAGACTTGAGAAATCTCAAGGACATGCCTTCTTGTCAGGACCCAGAAGAGGTCCTTGCTCCATGTGTAAGGGCCACACTCGTGACCAAAGAGGTCAGCATGATCAGTCTTCCTGGCCAGTTCACCAGATGCAACAGCAAACAGAAACACTGAAATGACACCCAGGATTTGGAGGCAGACTTATTTATGAAAATAAATGAACTGATGGAATTAATGCTGATGCTTATGTTTTTACCATGAGTACTTGAGTAGTTGTGCCATTGTCTGAAATAAGATGATCATAAAAGGGACTAAGTTTTGGAGTGATGAAAAATAGGAGTTGTGTTTTGAATGTAAATCTGAAAGTTAATTATGCATCAAAATGGAAATACCACATAGACAGTTGGGTATGCATGTATAGACTTCAGGACAGAAATTAGGACTGAAAATTTGATATAGAAAGTTATCTAAAATCGTAGAACTAGGGCTGGGGATTTAGTTCAGTGACATAAGCACCTGCCTGGCAAGCGAGAGGTCATGAGTTTGATCCCTGGCACAAAAAAAAAAAAAAAAAAAAAGTAAATAAAATTTTAAAAAACATAGAACTAGATAACACTAACCAGGGAATGATTATGGAAACAGGAGAACTATAATTATGTCCTTCACACTACCAACATTTAGAAATCTAGCCGAAAACAATCCACATCTGAGAGGAAAGGAAAGCAGAAAGATCTAGTGTCAAAGAAGTCAAAATCACAAAGCATTACAAGAGGAAAAAGTTTTAGCCAGTTGCGTTTTGAAGGTACTTTGAGGACATAGAAATATGCTTCTTGGATTTAGCAACATAGAAATCAGTAGTAACCTTGAAGATATTGATACAATGACAGGTTGAGAATCTCATCTTCAGGGAGAACATTAGAGGTGAAAAAACTCTGTGTGTGTGTGTGTGTGTGTGTGTGTGTGCGCGCGTGTGCGTGTGCATGTGTGTGTGTGTGTCTGTGTGTCTGTGTCTGTGTCTGCAGAAGCTAATAAAGAGTAATAACCAAAGTACATAGAATCAAAGAAAGGATTTTTCACCTTTTGTAATTAGACAACATGCTTGATAGCAACCTCTCTCTTTCCTGTCTTTGGTAAATTTGAACTGTCACCAAATTCTATTTATTTTGGCTCACAAATCCATCACATCTATTCATTTCTCTCCATTACCACTTCCACCACTCTAGCAAATTTATCTTTATTTCCTACAGTGACTACAGCAATAGTCATTACAACTTTATTTTTTAGTTAGTTATTTAGTTAGTTTGTTAACTTATTTGTTTTTGAAGCAGAGTCTCACTGCATAGCCCACGCTAGTCACAAATTCTCTTCATCCTTCTGCCTCAGCCTCTGGAGTGCTAGGATGATAGGCACACACCACCACCCATGCCCAAATACAATACTGTCTTCATTTAATCTCATCTCCACACATCAGCAAGTTGCTTCCCAAGTGCAAATCTGATCGAATCACCCCAAACTTCTCCACCTTCACTATAAGTGAAAGGGCTTCCCACTGCTTTTGGGATAAAGACAGAACGAATGTCTTTCAAGGCCACATGTGGTCTGCCCATGCATACTTCTCAGTTTCATGTCCTACTTTCCCTTTTGCTTCCTGTGTCACTCCTACATTACCCAAATCTGGTTTGTTTGTTTGTTTGGGGGAAGTTTTTTTCCCCTCTCTTTTTTGAGAGAGTTTCATTACGTACTTCAAATTGGCCTTGAACCCACTTTGTAGTTTAGTCTGGTCTTGAACTCACAGTGATCCTCCTGCTCAGCCTCCCCAACTCTGAGATTATAGGTTTGCACCACCACACCCAGCCGTTATCCAAATCTGGCCAGTAAGTCTTAATACTTGATATTTTCCTGCCTAGAAAATGCTTATTTGCATATCTCCTCTCTTCCGCCAAACTACCTAATTGCTGCTATTTCTTCAATTGCCCAGTTCAGTCATGCCTTTAATTAGGAAACCATTTCCTGACCTTTCTTACCAGCTGCATTCCCTTTGTTACCTACTCCTGCAGTACCAGCACTTTACACAGTTACAATTTGTCATTTTCTTGTGATTTTTTTTTCTTGGTTTTCTGACAGGGTTTTGCTATATAATTTAGGCTGGCCTTTAACTCAGTATAGAGCCTAGGCTGGCCTTGAGCTTGTGGCAATCTTCCTGCTTCAGCCTCCCAAGGATTACAGATGTGAGCCACCATGGCCAGCCTGATTATTTGATTAATAATGTCTTCTTTACTGTTTTTAAAGCTATATGAGAGCAGTAATAATTCCATAGGACACTGTGATTTTTCCCTCCCATTATGTACATAATACTTATCATTTCTGGCATGTAATAAGTACCTAGTAAATACATGTTAAGTGAATTGAATTTGATGAATGAATAAATCCTTGCATTTTAATACCTCATTAAGTAACATGATCGCTTGAATTAATTTGGAAAGTTTCCAGTACTTCTGAAGGAAAAAATGGCAATCAGCATTATTATTTTGGGGAAAGAGTTACTACTAAGAAATGACCCTGACACAAAAAAAGAAAAATTAAGAGGCTGGAGATGTAGCTCAGTGAAAAGACCCTGGGTTCAATTCCTAGTATCACAGAAAAAAGCTCAGTATTGGTGGGGCACCTCCTGGGGTTGAACAAATGTATCCCCACTACAGCATCACAGAGCGTTTTTATTGCCCTACAAATCCTCTGTGCTTCATTTGCTCATGCCTCCCTCCCCCAGTCTGGCAACCACTGATCTTTTCAGTCTATAGTTTTGCCTTCTCTATAATGCCATCTAATTGAAACTGTACAATACATGGCCTTTTAAGATTTGCCTCTTTCATTTAATAACATGCATTTAAATTTCTTCCAATCTTTTCATGGTCTGATAGTTCATTTCTCTTTAGTACTATGTAATATTGTGCTGTCTGGAAATATTTAATCCATACTAACCATTTGAAGACACGTTCCCTTATACTTATCTGCTTGTCATCAGCTATTTAATTCCTGAGTCACTATCTTTAAACTTTTCACTCGTTTGTGGTTGCACGGGTGGTAAAGATCTCAGATTCTCTTCCATTAGAGGTCACTGAGTTTTAGGGGGAAAAAATAAAAGTCATTGGTTACATTGGTTAGTCTCCTTCCTCTTATATTTTCAAGATGCGTTATTGTATACCACATATGATCAATGGGTTTCATTTTATTTCCTTTGCTATTAAAGTTAATGTGAAAATGCCAACATTAAAGATAACTAATTATCTCACAAGCACAGGGAAGTATATCAATGACTTTTAGTTAATAGTCAGACTGGAAATGTTTAGTAGTTTAATTTGCTTTCTATAAATAAAACAAGTGTAATGAAATCTAATGTATGAGAAAGCATATAAATTGATTTATGCTTTTAAAAGTAAATATGCTGTAACATACTATTCTGACTTTTAAACCTTTATGTTTAAATATTAGGAAAATGATTTTACTTGGATTTTAATATAACTCATATTTATAATATTCTGTATAATATATCTTTCAGAAAAATATTTCAAAATTCTAGCTTTACAGTAATTGATGACAGATTCAGACAAGGATCATCAGCGGTAAAGATTCTCAAACCCCATTCTCAAAGTGTTTTCATTTCTCGAAATTTTCATACTGGAAGACTCCAATCACAGGTAAAGTGTATAGTTTACAGCAATCTTTTCAAAAAGTCTTTATACTATCTCATTAGAATAAGACTTTAAATTCAAAGAGCGGGATAGCCATTTTTTTTTAATTTGAGGGATAATAATATGGAGTCAAGTTTAAATTATCCAGCCTAATTAAGAATCTATATTACATAAGTATAGTAAAGTGAAAATTTAACTGAAAATATATTCTATCTATGCTCACTTTTCCATCTCTCACCAAAATCGTGTGCTCTCCATAGTGAAATGAAGATAATACATATAAAAAACTGAAGGCAAAATTATTGGGTCTGTCAGAGGAAAAAGATTTAGAGTTAAGAGGAACAGTATTCAGATAACCAGACTACCTAACCAAAAAGTAATTGAAGCTAAATCAGTTTGATAAAGATCTAATCTTTTATTTCATTCTAAACTCTGAGTCTCACTAGTGCAAATAGTAAGACATGGCCAGTGTGGTTCAAGTGAGAAAAGCAGACCATAATGGTGTTTGAGCATTTGTAACTTATCTAGTGCCTTTCATTTGCAGTACCAGTTTTGCCACTGATCCTATATAAATAAACAAGAATCCAGCCCTAGGTGAAGCTAAAGTTAATAGAAAAAATACAAATAAACAACATTATGTGATAAGAAATGACAGTTTTAAAAGTACAATGAGGGAGACTATATTGAGGAGAGCTTCAGAGAGAAGACATTTTTACCTGGGTTTTGAGAAATCAGTAGAAATTCCTCAAGAGGAAAAAAGAAAAGTCATTTTATATTCAAAGGTTTGCAACTTTTAAACAGCATGTGAAGGCAGACAATGTATTTAGGGAGTTTAGCATTCATAAAGGGGAATGATAAAAAAAGACTTCAGAGAAATTTCCAAGCAGGTGTAAGATACTGCCTATAAACTCAGAATTTGGAAGGTAAGGCTGAGTCCCACTGGGAGATTTTAGTGAGACCCTGTCTCAAAATAAAAAATAAAATAGCCTGGAGTTGTAGTTTAGTGCAAAGGCCCTGGGTGAGGAGATTTGATGAGTCTTGTTTTCCTGGAAGCATTATAGTATTATAATCAAGAGCGTGAACCATAGAGCCAGATCACACAGGTTTAAATCTTTGCTATACCACTACTGACTGTGCAATATTAAGCAAGTAGTTAACTTCTCTGTGTCTGTTTCTTCATCAGCAAAGTGAGGCTAATTCCACTTCATAGAGTTGTTATAGGATGTTAGAATTATCTGGTGCAAGAGAGAAGTGAAAGGTAAAAAAAAGAACAGTTTATTGAGGACATGGAAAAGAACACACAACCCATGGCCGTTGGGCTGTTTCCCCTGACCAGAGAGACAGAAAGGCAGAGGGTTACATGACCTCTGATCAGAAGTGGTGCATGGGGTGGATATTGATGATGTGCGAGGAACCAATTGGAGTTCTCTTTGCACACAAACAGGAAGGGGAGTTGCAATTAGGGCTGGAGAAGAAGGAGGAGGTGGTAAGCATTACTGCTTTGGCCTTCTGCCACATTAGACCATCACCATAATTGTACAGTAATTTATACTAGGGCAAGAACCTTTCATTCCCATCTTTGTATTGTTAGGAAAAGGGCAGACTGTATCTTACTATTTCTTGCTGGACAGGAGCATTATGTTGGGGTCTAGAGGGTTGACAGGATAATGGTTGATGCCCATGGAGAGCTGGTACCAGGTGTTTCAGCCCAGACAAGGAGTTTCTTATTGGTAAATGCTCACATACCAGATTGGAGAAATAAAAAGACAAGGTGCTCTGAAGAGGAAGGTCACTATCATAATTAAAGGACCCAGGAAATGTAGAAGGAAAAGTGCGCTTGATCCAAATGTGTCATTCCAGCAGGGCCATGTTAAGAATCTGAAAAATAAATGTGAGGTTGGGAGGGGTGAAGTTACAAGAGGTAACTATTCCCCCATTGAAGGGATGAAAGTGTAGGTAGGACTTGCCCTTGGTCCGGGGATTGAACTGGGGAATGGGAAGCGTGAAAAATGTAAGGCCTGCCAGTTGAATCATGTTTGAGAAATTATACACTAAGGGTGAGGAAGGCTGTGGCTGTGTCACTATAAGTGATGCAAGATTTTAGACCTACAGGGGTCTCATATTTAACTAAACAGTTGAGGGCAGAAAGAACTAAGATAGTTGTAGTGAAAAAGTTAACTAATACACTGTAAGGGATCAGGAACCAAATAGGATAACAAAACATGACCTATCCTGAAAATTGTGGCTGTGAGGCCTTGGTGACATGGAGATGGGAGACAGGAGATGAGATGACTGATCAGGATGTTTAGAGCCAGGGGAATTAAGGTTAAGAGAACACCACTTAGCTTGAGTGATGTGGAACCAGGATGTCACTCCAGCAACCTTGTGCACTGTTGGAGTTCCAAGGAAGACCAGATAGGGGCCACTCCGCTTTGGGTGTAGTCCTGTTGAAAGATCACAAGATGGTTGCTGCCCATTACATGGTGAGGGAGCACAATATGGCAACCAGTCATCATGTGACCTGCAACAAGAAGGCTGCTGCTGATCTCATGAGGAGGGACTGCAAGATGGTGGCCAATTACCCTGTGACCTGTTACAAGATGGTGGCACATTATCACATGGCAGAGAACCACAAGATGGTGACTGTCCTCCATGTGAACTGCAGCAAGATGGATGCTGAGGACCATGAGGTATGGGATGGCAAGATGGTAGTTGAATACCATGTGACCTGCTAGGTGGCTGAAATGCACAAGACCAAGTATGGTGAGCTGGTGGGGGAAATGGCAATGCAGGAGTAGGAGACAAAGAAGAAGAGATGTCCGACAGAACAGATGGCTTAGGTGGAAGGGATTGAGAAATCTGAAACTAAGGAAGGATTAGAGATCATTGGGGGTGAGGAAGGGGGAGAGAATGACATGGGGGGCACAGAAACCTCTGGCCAAGAAAGCTGTGGGGTTTGGTCTTGGAGATATGGGGGAGAAGCCCTAAGACAGGAGATGCATCACCTAAGGGGTCTGGTGAGGAGTAAGGGAGAGTTCCTGGTAGAGTAGAGTGATCCAGAAGTATTTGGACAAGACAGAATGAGAAAAGGACTGGTCTTCAAAGTGAAAAAGGCCTAAAAATGCGGGGTTTCTGCCAACTTGCCACCATTGTGATAAAAGTATAAACAAAAGATCAGCTTTTTGAGGCCAAGAGCAACAAGATTATGAACTAGGCACCTCAGAGGTGTGTTTTTCAGGGTTAGGTAATGGTCTCCATGACCAAATTAAAAGTGAGCCAAAAGAACAACTTTGCCTCAGAATGTAAGAGCTTTAGCTCCCCCACCAAAGAATGTGAAAGTTGTTGTGGATCACACTTATCAAAAGAAGTCATCATCTATTTTGGAAGTATGACACCGGAAGTCCCAACACCATTTTCTTTGGCTGTGGGGTCCCAGAGAACAAGAGGGTAGTAGTTTTGCCTCAGGCTGTCCTACCCAAGGAATGAGAAAACTGCTATCTCTGTCCATAGTTGGTAATGGATAGGTTTTTTGATGTAAGCTTGCAAATTTTAGAAACAGAAACAGAAAACCTCAGATGGTAGCTCACCTCTGATGAATGAGAAGGCTTGGTGTCGCATGCGGATTAGGGCAGCAAATAAACAGGTCCTGGAGGAAGGAAAGGTGGTTTGTAGGCAGGAGAGCTCAAATTAGGAGTGACTCCCAGGAGCTAGCGTTCTGCCATCTGAGTCACAGCACCAAAATGTTAGAGTTATCTGATGCAATAGAGAAGCAAAACCTAAAAAAAGAACAGGTTTGTTGAGGATGTGGAAAGGAGCACACAACCCATAGCAGTTGGGCTGTCTCCTTTACCAGATACAGAAAGGTAGAGGGTTATATGACCTCTGATCAGAAGCGGCACATGGGGTAGATATTGATGGTGTGCAAGCAACTGATTGGAGTTCTCTTTGCACACAAACAGGAAGGGGAGTTGCAATCAGGGCTGGAGAAGAAGGAGGAGGTGGTAAGCAGTACTGCTTTGGCCTTCTGCCACATTAGACCACCACTATAATTGTACAATAATTTATACTAGGGAAAAAATCTTTCAGGATTAAATAAAATAGTATGTGAAAAGCATTTGAAATAGTGCTTAGCCACAAGGTGGGCACCATGCAAGTGTTCTGTTATTACCAGACAATTTTGAGCAGGTGGATCAGTAAAGATCAAATTAACTCTTTCAAATAAAGGATAATTTGAAATGGAGATTCTGCTGTAGAGAAAAAAGTGTCACTATATGTTCATTTAATATTAATCACATTCTAGGCACTTTGCTAGGTACCATTATATAATGCTTTCATCATACTTAGTTGTAGATACACACAAATAATTACAAAAGTGTCATAAGTATGATTTTAATTAGGTACTTTGATTAATCATATGTGATAAGCATTTATATGCCAGACATCATTCCAGGCACCTGGGAATTTGCTGGTGAACATGTGAAACAGTAGTACCTGCTTTTATGAAGTTTATGGTGTAGTGAGACAGATAAACAATGTATGAGCAGACACAAAATATCTTTTTAAAGATCATTTTAGGTTGATAAGTACAAGTTATGTATATTTATTATACACAATGCTATGTTTTGAAATATGTAGTCATTGTGGAATGGCTGAACTGAACTAAATAACATGTTACTCCACATATGTGTCATTTTTGGAAGTAAGAATGCTTAAAATCTACTTTCACTAGTGCACACCTCAAGAGGCTGAGACAGGAGGATCACCATGAGTTTGAGGTCAGCTCGGGCTACACATAAGTGGTTCAAGAACAGCTTGGACTACATAGTGAGACTGCCTCAAAAAAAATCTACTTTCAACAGTTTTCAAGAATTCAATACATTGTTAATAATGTTCATATTAGGGCTGGGGATTTAGCTCAGGGGCATAAGTGTCTGCCTTGCAAGCGCTCAGCCGTGAGTTCGATCCCTGGTACCAAAAAACAAAAAAAAAAAGTTCAAATTGTACAG